ATGAATGTATGTATGGATAGATGAATGGATGGATGTGTAGTGAACTAGACCTCCTACATCAATCTGTCTCTGAAGACCTTCAGGGGACAGGAACTGTTATTTCATTGATTTGAATCCAGAAATATAAATTATCTCATTAAGATACTATTTAATTGTATCCTGAATTAATCAATTGAAAGAACACTCTTCTTTTTTATATTATCATTACTATTTTACAATATCTTGATAATCAAAAGTGTGTTTAGTTCATACCATTTCTAATGTTGAAGTAAACCACTCATTTAAATCAACTGTGAAACAGTATTAATGATTTTTAAACCTCATTAGACTTAGATCATACAAGTTAAATGTCTATTTACAAAGTAAGTGTGCCTTTTACTCTTCTGTATGCATGAGGAGTGGATTTGATGTCGGTCAAAAGTCAGAGAACAAGTTATGAGAACGAAGTGCCTTGTTTTTAAACTCTCAAACAGTAAATAAGAACTGGCTGGCACCTGCTGTCTCTCACTTCTTCAAAATATTTTCCTGTCTGTACTAACCATTCTTAAAAACATTTCTGCTGTCTGCGACTCCTAATAACCCTCTGACATCACTAAAACTCCACCCCTGCTGGTTGGGTTAACCAATCAGGAAGTACCACGTAACAGGAGGTGGATACCCTTTAAAAGTCAACGCTTCTTGGAACTATTCAGTCTTCCTAGAACTTTCAGTCTAAGATGAGACTCGGTCTTACTGGAAGACTCAGTCTGATGGCGAGTCTTACTGGAACTTTCAGTTCTTACTGAAAGTCTGTTTGGAGTTCTTAATGGAGGATGGGGTCTGACAGCCTCTACTCTAATAGCTGATGGAATTGGACCATGTGCCAAGGGTATGTCCATTTCAGGTGAGTCACAGCACGCCTCGATGTGAACTCACCCGGGCGTAACGCCCTACAACTTCTAATGAAGATTCCTTCTAAGGAAGTTCTTATTCTGTTGAACGGAGTACTTCGTCAAGACTTCTGACAATTCCCAGCCACTCTGACCGGAGACGCTGAAAAGTAACGTGAACTGGACCTCTGTACCGGAGCTGATTTATCTTCTGCAAAGGTAAAGAGTCGTCACGCACTGAGTGTACCGAGGGCTGAGCTGGGGTCGAATGAAGGGTGCCATTTCTGGTCAACATATTTCAACCAACCCCCCACAACTTTCCTCCTAAACTTCTTTACTCCTTCTCTGTAAACCTTTTCGCCAGTAAGTCAAGCTAATTGCCTTCAGAGATGAATTATTCTCCATCAGTAATCCTCTGTTGTCTTGTTATTTGAACTTGCTAAGTTTATTAATCAGAAACAGATCAGCAAATCAATGTGTACATGTTTGATGTAAAATTTTGATTCTGTTAAATAAATGACCGCATTTATTCTGATGGGTCAAAGATAAATTACGTCTCATGTCACTAATTCCACACTCCACTCTGAAGTTATCTTGGTCGCATGACATAAATTTAACTCGAAAAAGAAATAATCTGTTGTTAATTAAACAATTAATATTCTTTGTGCTTGAACTAGCCTTAAGAATAATTAATTAAGTAGGATGTCCACAGCACAGCTGTCCTGACATACTACATATTTGGTGGCCCGTACGGGGATGAATGGATGGATGGATGGATGAATGGATGGATGGATGAATGTATGTAGCTGGTGCAAAGAGAATAACCTTCACATCAATGTGAAGAAGACAAAGGAGATGATTGTGGACTTCAGAAGGAACAAAAACATCTACACCCCCCTGAACATAAGAGGATCTGCGGTGGAAGTGGTCTCCAGCTACAAGTACTTGGGTGTACACATGAATGACAACCTCAGCTGGAGCAACAACACGACCAGCCTGATCAAGAAAGTTCATCAGAGACTCTACTTCCTCAGACGGCTGAGGCGAGCTGGTCTGGGAAGCTCAGTCCTCACCTCCTTCTACAGGTGTGCAGTGGAGAGCATCCTGTGCTCCAGCATCAACGTGTGGCATGGAGGCAGCACAGCTGCAGAAAGAAAAGCTTTGCAGAGAGTGGTGAAGGCTGCACAGAAGACTGTCAGAGTCAGCCTCCCCACCATCACAGACACCTACACCTCTAAATGCAGGAAGAGGGCTACCTGCATCACGAAGGACCTCACTCACCCAGCACACACACTTTTTGCCCCACTCCCCTCAGGAAGGAGGTTGAGGAGCATTAAGTGTAGAACCACTAGACTGAGGAACAGCTTCTACCCTGAGGCTGTTAGACTCATGAATCTCTAACCAGAATAATCACTGTGAAAAACCACATCATGTTGCTGCTGATCTGTTTAAATGTTGATGTGTTCATGCGTGCACATCCGCTCACACAGACTCATGTTCATGTTTGTGCTGATGTCCAATGTTTTTATGTTATGAGTGCTTAGTGTATATTTAGTTTATGTTTTTCTTAGTTCATATCTTAGATGTTATTACTGTTTTTTTTTATACATTTTATTGTTGGATGTAAATGGGACCCTGTGTACATAATTTCGCTCCACCACATGTACCACATGAAATGCGAATGACAGTAAAGAATCTCTGACTCTCTGACTCTGATGTATGGATAGATGAATGGATGGATAGATCAATGGATGGATGGATGAATGTATGTATGGATAGATAAATGGGTGGATGAATGAATGGACGGATAGGTCAATGGATGGATGAATGGATGGATGGATGAACAGATAAATGGATGGATGGATGAATGTATGGATAGATCAATGGATGGCTAGATCAATGGATGGATGGATGAATGTATGGATAGATCAATGGATGGATAGATCAATGGATGGATGAATGGATGGACTTTTAATAATTTGTATCCACCTGTGACTAAAGCAGCACTACTTGCTGTGATTGACATCGTGTCATCATAACGAACAGGGGAATAAAATCAGAAATATAAAGATGACTTCAGGCCCGTGTGGGGTTTGCCTGGTTAAATGAAGCTTAATAATAATAATGTAATTCATCAACAGCAGCTCTACTTTCAGGACATGACGTCAGAGACCTGTAGGGGGCGCAGATATGTTGTCAGCTCCGCGTGTCGTTGGTCTCAGCAGCTGTGGGATCACATGCACGAGTGAAACGAAGTCCACGTGTGGGATTCTTCAAGATGGCGTTGCTCATGTTTGCCCTCGTTCAACTTTAATCCCAGATTAAAGGGTCGTGCTTCCTGTATTGAGTTATATCATGCACATCTGCAGATGTGCTCCAGGTCTTCATTCTTTGATGAAGCAAACTTTTTACACCTGATCACAGCTCCAGTGTGACCTGCAGATGAACTGCCATGTAGACGAACAATAAATTTACTGTTTGTGCCACTTCTTGTTAATTTGATTATTTTATTACCAGTTTCAGTTTTTACTCTGAAAATGTCTCCAAAAAAGGGGTTCTGTTTAGGGTTTAGAACTTTGGGAAAAGATGGAGTAACATTAAAGGGATAGTTCAGAGTTTTTAATATGGGGTATTGTTACAAACAAATATCTTACCTGTTGTAGATAACCTTTTTAACCACCTTAGTTTTGAGAAAAAGTTCAATTCTGGTCAGAATGCATGACTGCCAAACTTACTGTTGCGTTAAAGTTCTCCAGTCTCAAAAATTTAGTAATTAATGCAGATACTTTTTTTAAATTTGCACAGCTGGGCAGATGTATGAAAATTTCTGCAGAAACAAACATTGCTGCAGGAAGTGCACCAGGCTGCACCACAGTGCTAACGCATCAGCAAATAACCTCATTTTATTTAACTAATGCGAACTGACCGCTTTATAAAGATTTATTAAAAAACTTGCAAGAACCACTTTGATTTATTTTAACTTGAGATGTTTTGTGATGGGAGCAATTGAGGTTGAGCTTGGCCCCACGTGGCCTAGCATTAGCATGTCCTGTCAGAATTTAACTATTTTTCTGCTTTCATAAATAATTGATTATATTGCCATTTTGAGAACATGTTCTCAAACACATGTTCTCTGTGCTGCATACTTGACAGTAAAATAACCCTCAAGATGACCAAACTGTACCTCTAAGCTCTAAAGATGAAAATATTTTAACTCTGCGATATCCAGATGCTATAGTTCATTTCTTTTACATTTTTCTTCTGTTTCCATCAGCAAGAAGAAAACTAAAATCATGATTATACCAGGAAGGTGTTGGTTGTCCATGCTGCTTCCTTATTGTCACATTTTATTTTAAGAGTCAGCTGAAATGTCTCCAAAACGAATCAAATCTTCTGGTTTTCACATAAAACTAAACACACTAACAAAGATGAATGCCAGACAGAGATTTGGCCTTTCTAAAGCGTTTGTTTAAAATATTACCCAGTTCTCTAATCCTAGCAGAAGCGAGAACAGTTGTGGAATTATATGACCTGGCTTGAATGCAAAACAGCCTGAGGCCATAAGTTCAGTGTTTACAGACATATGCTCACATCTGGCTCATTCTAATGGAATAATCATTCGGCCTCTCTCGCCACCGCCAAATGCAACTTTGGGGGCTGAGCATGTGGGGGAGCCTGCATTGTGTAAAAAATAGGCTACGGGGCTTTTTATTTTGGTCTGGTCAGAATGATGATGAAACTGGTGGTTGCATTATGTGCCATCCCCACTCTGGGCTGCCTCCAGTTTGTAGGTTACTGAAAGATTTCACCACCCGCAGGAAAGAAGATTAGAGAGGAATTAATGGTATTCCTTTGTCATTATAAAAACAAATTGATATTTGGATTTAAATCAGAGGGTGGGGACAGTTGGAGCAACATGCTGCGTCAGGACGCATAAGCAGGGGGACGGCACGGTTACGAGCAACCTTTCAGTCAGGGAGGGATACACACACAGTGGAGCTGAGCGCTGGATACCACCACTGATGCTCACCATGTTACAGGAGACGACAGCACAGGAAAATACAGACATACCTCGAGGTTTTCATGGCAGAACAGAATGCTGGGACGTGGACATGTCTGTCCGTAGAGGACTGGAACAGATGTGGAACTCTGTGGACCCAACACTGACAAAGTGAGAGGGACGTTTGGGTTCCTCTTTGGATTTCCAGCCCGCTGCTCAACCATGAGACTGGCCCTCCTGGCCTTGAGACTGATGGTTTTGGCCAGGTTGTGGCCCGTCACCCATCTCAACAGCAGCACTTTTCCCAGTAAGAAGAAACACAAGGAGTTTTACGTCGGGGAGAACACCAAAGTAAAGAATGGAGGGTAAGCCGAAGAAGGATTTTTTAGTTTTCTGTACTTGAGGGGCTGCTTAAGTTGCTAAAATAAACATTTATTTTGTGACTTTATTCACAGAAGTATTTCTCTTTTTACTACTTTGCAAAAATTGACACAGATCTGCTTGCATAATTGATCACAATGATTCCATAAATGCCACAATAGATTGAGGTCAGCAGCAATCAAGTCATGTGACACTAAAGCTGACGTGTGTTTTACTTAAAATTTTGTCCTGGTTTTTGCTGAACAGAGAAATATGTATTCACAATATTAAACTCAGATTTGGATTGCTTCTAGAAAGAAAATAATCAGCTCAGGACACAGATGAAAGAGTGTCCCTGCAGCATCTTTGACCCAGAAAACAAGCACCAGTACTCTGACCAAAAAAAAAAAAAAAAAAGTGATTGATTTGAACCAAGGCTTTTAGTTTTAATCAGTTCTAAAACACCAGCACTGTTTCAAGTTAATGCCTGAAGAGAGAGGTTTAAAGAAAGCTGGTAATTAGTCGTCCTTATTGTTTTTTTATTTTCCAGGCGTGTGGATCTTAAGACGAAAAAGCAAGACAGCACCAAGTCTCTGCTAATTAAATCTGAGCAGCTACTTCGGATTGATGATCATGACTTTGCAATGCGCCCAGGCTTTGGAGGTAAAACGTTTTAATTCAATTTACACATTTTTGACAATGCAAAACCACCACAATATTTTTGCATTATTTTAAGAATATTGCATGTATGTGCTATCCAAACAACTCAGTCAAGTCAATGTAGGCCAGTGTGTTTGTCTCTTAAAAATACATCTAACAAAAAAGCCTCATGACCCAATTTGTCTGCTGTATGAGACAATGACTGCAGTAGATAAAATAATCTGACCTGTGTTCCTAATGCACTTTTATGCAACGTGCAGTAGTTTAGACGTGCTTTTGTAGATTAAATGAATATTGTCCAACAAAAATATTTAGAATATTATTTTTTGTCACCTGAACCGTGCCATAAAGCAAGTTTAAATATTATTTTTCTCTAGGAGTAGCAGCTAAAATGACAGCATGGAATGCAAAAAGCCTACTGGGCGAAGGATTCATTTTGTAATTAGCATATTTTTGTACTTGATTAATTGATTTAACTTGAGTTTATTTGGTCTTAGTGTGTTGTAAAAAACTAAGTTTTGTAAAAGAAAATAGGTAAAATTGGGCCATAATCCATCCATCCATTTTCTTTACCCGCTTATTCCATTTTGGGTCACGGGGGTCGCCGGTGCCCATGTCCAGCAATCACTGTGCGGGGGGCGGGGGACACCCTGGACGGGTCGCAGTCCATCACAGGGCCACATAGAGACAAACGAGACAAACAAACATTCACTTTCTCATTCACACCTAGGGACAATTTAGAGTTACCAATCAGCCTAACATGCATGTTTTTGGTCTGTGGGAGGAAACCGGAGAACCTGGAGAAAACCCACGCATGCACGGAGAGAACATGCAAACTCCACCCAGAGAGGCCCCTGGACCGGGGTTTGAACCAAGGACCTGCTCGCTGAGAGGCAGCAGCTCTACCAGTTGCGCCACCGTGCTGCCCAAATTGGGCCATAATGTTTTTTTTTTATTTTTTATAATTGTGTCTTACTCCAAAGATTCTCTTTGTGTAGAAATGATCTGTCACAGCCTCTCTAATCACATAAGGTGTTCTCCAGAGTTCAGTCCTAGAGTCCTTTTTGTTTATAATGTACCTTCCCTGATATTCTGTTTTCAGACATCACAGTATTTAATTTCCCTGATATGCTGACGACACACTGATGTATCTTTCTGCTGAAACTAATTTCTATACTTTTCTTGTTTATATTTGACTGTTTAACAGCGATTAAAAATTCCTTAAACTCAACCACAATAAAACAGACTTTCCACTTGTAGGCACCAAGTTCATGCTCTCTAATTATCCTCAGTCACCATTGAACACTTTGCAACACATCCTCCCTCTTGTATTGAAATACTTTTTCTTCTTCTTTGGGCTTCTCCCTTCTTTAGGGGTCGCCACAGTGAACTAAGTCGTATGAAGACTTGGCATTTATTTTATGCCGAATTGTATTGAAAGACTAAATGTCATTTTTGATCCTTTTTTTAAACAGAGAAACAGTTTTACTTATAATGCTTAATTTAATCAACCTTTCCACACTGGCCTTCAGATGTGCTTTCTGTCTCTGAAAATCTCTTCCACCACACTTCTATACCTTAATCTTTTTTTACTCCTAAAACTTCCCTGAAACTTTTCTGTTTTGACTGGTCCATCCTATTTAACTCTGATATATTTTGTCAAATTTGTGGACATGTTGGTTTTGCTTCTTTTATCTAGATCCCAATGTACGTTTTCTACATCACATTAAAAATGTCTGCTGCAGTGCTGACCAAAATGTTTTACAGTTTAATCACACAAAATCTCAATAAAAGAAGAGAAAAGAGCAAGAAATCAGTGTATTTTGGTTACTGCTCGAATCAAAAGCCAAAAAATAAAAGTGAGACTTAAGCAAACATTTAAAAGACTCAGCAGTCTCAGTGATCCATATATTAAGAACCTGATCATGTATTGTAGTTTGGGATCTTGGAACAGATTTCTAAAAGGAAATGGCTTAGTGCTTTGATTGGTGTTTAGGTGTCGTGGAGATCCCATTCAAATGAATTGGTTTAAACATTAAATGCAAGTAATAAAATCCTAAAATTAATCTGGAAACAGACTGGAAACCAGTGGATAGAAGTTCATTCAACCTTTATTAATACAGGTTAGACTCAGTTATCCTATGGGACTCATTTACAAGAGACACTTGTAGTCAAAATAGGTTATGTGTTCACACTTTTTAGCACCGGTTAGAAGATGAGCAGCTGTATTCTGGATGGGCTGAAAGCGATGCAATGGATAATCATCTAAAACCAACATACAGGGTGTTACAGTAGTCCAAATGATGGGTAATAAAATCTTGAATTACTTAGTTAGGCCCTTAATGGGGAGATATAGTTTCAAGGATAAGCACTAATGGGGAAAAAAGCATCAAAATTCATTGATCTACATTGTTTTTACTTGTTTTAACTTATTTGGCTGTTTTAATTATACGTGTTTTAAAAAGCACACATAAATAAAATGCATTATTATTGTTATTATATTGTGCACCCTATTACTTTAAATATAATCCATTCCATTTCACCGAGACTGCAGCTGTTGGCTGATGGTTTGGAGTACTTAACATCATTAGATAATGGCGCTGTATGAACTGGATGTTTATGGATCCTACGCTGAACCCATTCTGCCTCTGGATGATGACATAAGAGCAGCTCAATGTACGCAACACTTCATATTTTTGAGTTTCACGCTGGAACAAGCAGACTTATTTTTTAAAAATTAAACAGAACAGAGGGAATGAGTGTTTTATTTCTGTATACGCTGCTGACAGTATTGTGGAAGTTTTTAAGTACAGATTGCTGTGACCTGATTGTTGCCTTCAAACATCCTGCTTCATGCTTCAGAAGCTGAATACTGATGGGGATCAGACCTCCATCAACAGTTCTTTTTTTTTTTTTACTGAAGGAAGAATTTAAAAAAGGCTTTATTTGTCATAGCTTACACATTAGTTCAGATGTAGGATTTGCACATGCATAACTCTATCAGCTGCGCACACAGATTATTGTAGCAGATGTGATCCAACAACTACTTAAAGCTTATCTGTCACTTTTGACCTTTTGCAGGTTCAGCTCTTCCAGTTGGCATAGACGTTCAGGTGGAGAGCATTGACAGCATATCAGAAGTAAACATGGTATGCCCATCACTGGTTCTTCAAGTAAATAAGCTGCTGGGCTCGAACACTTGAGTTGCCTTTTTATTGAAAGGCGGACGTATTATAGTGTAGACTCCGACTGTACGTACACAACTTTCTCTTGTCCTGCCCATAACTGCTGATTCGATCAAGATAATTTACCTATACTTCATGCACATCTGCATTATCACCAGATGGAGTGTCACATACACTTTTCATCACCCCAGCTCAAAGGTTAAGATCACAAATCAAGGTCAAAGTTACAATAAGGTCTTTGCTTGTCACACCAATAACCTGATCCGCTCAAAATAATTTATTGAAACCTTATACACATTTGTACCACTACTAGAAAGCATGTCCTGTAATATTTTCATCATCCCAGCTCTAAGGTCAAGGTCACAATTTAAGGTCAAAAGTTATACAAAGTATTTGCATGTCCAGGCTAGTGCTATAGAATGTTGCATTGTAGAATAATAGTCAGCTGGTGTATAATGTGCCGAATATGGTACTTTTGTTAATATTTTCTTATTCCTTGTTCAGGACTTCACCATGACTCTCTACCTGAGGCATTACTGGCAGGACGACCGTCTGGCTTTCCCCTCCAGCAGCAACAAAAGTCGAACTTTCGATGCACGCCTCGTCAAGAAAATCTGGGTCCCGGACGTGTTTTTTGTTCATTCCAAACGCTCTTTCATCCACGATACAACCATGGAGAACATCATGCTGAGGGTTTATCCTGATGGAAACATCCTCTACAGTGTCAGGTAAAACAAAATAAGTTTTTAAAACAAGTCAGTCTTGTAACCCACAGTATCTTCAATTCAATTCAGTTTATTTATATAGCACCAAGTCACAACAGAAGTCATCTCAGGACACTGAACAGAAGCATTCATATGCATGAGACTTAAGTTAATAACATTATTTATCGGAGGAGCAGACTGCTTTGAGTTTAACTTCATAGCAGAACTCTCATCTTGAGCAAGCATGAAGGCAACAGTGGAAATCTGCTCACACAGACTCATGTTCGTGCTGCTGTTGTTTGGTGCATTGTTTTGTACTATTAGTGCTTAGTGTATTCGTAGTTTAATGTATTTCTTAGTTCATATTTTAAATCTTATTACTGTTTTTCTTTACAATTTGTATTTTTGTTGGATGTAACTGGGACCCTGTGTACATAGTTTCGTTCCACCTCATGTACCACATGTGGCGTGAATGATAATAAAAACACCTTGACCGTGACATGATCTTGAAAGAAAAAAAACTCACTCATGAGGAAGAAACCTTTAGCAGATCCAGGTTCAGGAAAAGTGACCATCTGCTTCCACTGGTTGGGTTTGAGAGGAGCAGGAAGGAGGAACAGATACACAATGGCAGGTCAAGAATCACATGTTAAAATACAAATAGTATAAAATGAAAGGTATTCAATTTTAACAATTCATTTTACGAAATGTGGTCAATTTGTCTTCTAGTAGTCTAAGCATATGGCAGCATAGCAGCGAATAATGAACGACTGTGGCTGAGTGGTTAGAGCAGTCGTCCTTCAATGCAGGAGTTGGCAGTTCAAATCCACCAGCAGTCACATGCTGAAGTGTCCCTGGGCAAGACACTGAATCCCTCATTGCTTCTGATGTGTGTCCCATTGGTGTATGAATGTGATCTAAAGCTCTGACTAGTCTCTTTAGAATGATTTGTTCAATTAGCTTTGTAGAGCTCTAGTAGAGTGATGTATGAATGGGTAAATGAGGCACAGATTTTAGTGTAAAGTGCTTTGAGTATCTTAATAAGATAGAAAGGCGCTATATGGTACTGTCCATTTACCATAACAAGCCAACTCTAACTATAGGATTTATCAAAAAGAAAAGTCTTAAGACCAGTCTTAAAATTGGACAATGTGTCAGTCTCATGGACAGAAACTGGAAGTTGGTTCCACAAGAGAGGAGCCTGATAACTGAAAGATCTTCCTTCCATTCTGCTTTTGGAAACTTTAGGAACTGCGAGTAAGCCTGCAGTCTGAGAGAAGTTAGGAAAATATTGAACAATAACATCTCAAATATGAGATGGAGCTAGGTTGTTGAGAGCTTTGTAGGTTACAAGTAAGATTTTGAATTCAATTCTGGACTTGACAGGGAGCCGATGGAGAGAAGCTAAAACTGGAGGGATATGATCTCACCTACTAACTCCCATTAAACTCTGTTCTTTATTGTCTTGAACATAATATTCCCATTATTCTGCCGTTGATTGTTTTCTCCATCACTTATCACTATATTTAATGTGAGCTTATAAACATCATGTTGGCATGAATGATTGGAGCCAGACGAGTGACATCAAAACCTGAGCTCGACACCATGCTGGCTCCCACCCACAAACAAACACAGACATACAGTAGATGCAGCTCTGTGATTATGTCTGCCGCTGCAGCTCAGAGGCTTTTCAGCTTTGATCCCTGGTTCTGAAAACCAAAAAGGCCAAAGAGAGAGAAGCAGTCTACGCTAGAATGAGCTTAGCATTGAGCTAATGTTTTAGAGCTTCTAATGTAAACAACAGATATTATGTTAATGTTTAACGAACATCTGCAGGCCAAAGCTTCCCATGCTCCAATAAATGTTTAAAAGCACATACAGTCCATAAAACCATACATTTCAGTCTAAACTCTTCTGGCTGTTGGTGAGTCACCTCAAGAAATGTATCTCAAGCAAATGTCCATGAAATGTATGTTGTTTTTTTTATTGATTAAAACTGATTGATTATTGCAGGCATATACATGTAACTGCTGAAGTTGTGTGTTTATTGCTATTTACATGTCAAATAGAGAACACAGAATAAAGACAAACTTTTTTTTTTTTGCTTTTATGAACGCAAACATGGTAAATTAATGAGCCAACTTCAAATGCTTTTTTAATCTTTTAGTAATCATTTTATTTAACTAAAATAAATCAGGATTCAATTGCCATTCAAATTTTAAGAATGTCATGTTGGGTTTAACTAATAAATTAACCCACATGCAAGAACACCACACAGGAGAGAGATGAACTATAATAAATGTTTATTTATGCGATAAATAAGCGGAATCAGATGAAGGTCTGGTCCATGAGCGGGGCTGTTGAATCCTCAGCACATTGTTCGGTGATCAATCCTGGGACTGGGGGGGGGGGGGGGGGGTTTCCGGGGTCTTTTAGTTCCAGTTAGGTCCTTGAGAGTGGTTAGAGGTTTGAAGAGCTCCTTTTGAATGTCGGAGGGAGCTCGAAGGAGAAGACGGCATTGGAGGACGGACTGGTAGGCAGAGGCTTGAAGGCATCAGAGGAGCAGACAGACTGCCAGTCGGTCTTTGGTGCTGGAGATCGATGTCGGCTGTGTCAGGTGAGTGTGGGAGCTCGGGCATCCATGGGGAAGCAACCCACGGCGTCACGAGGAAACAAAGAGAACGAGAACCAGGTCAGGATCCATCACTGGTAACACTATGGTGTCGAGGTACTGGCAGTCCTCCTCTCTTAACCTGCCAGTAACGAGTTGATTGTCCACCGGTGTGCCGATGACGTCAGGTAAGACGCTCCTCTGCCAGCCAACTTCAGGATTCCATCTAGTGGGAAAAGGAATTCCTAACAACCCCAGGACCTAACAAAGAATGTATTTAAAAATGTTGTGCATTGAGATGTGGGTATCATAAAAATAAATACAGGTTGTCTCAGTGCGTTGATGACTGTGTCAGGATTCTGGAGCAAATGCTGCATTGGCTTTTTGGATCATTTATTTTTATGCACATTTTGACGGGCATGGTTCCTCAAATAACATGTTTGATGCTGTAGCAATGGTTTATGTTGTAGATTTTACCAGTTGGTTCAGTCTAAAAACACAAGTCGGGTGAGAGAGAGAAAGCCACTTTTTAAGAAAACATAATCAATCTAAAATTTAAAAAAATGTCTAGATTGTTTGGAGACTCTAGTCAAGGTTTAATCTATTTTCTTCAACAGCATCTTTCTATTTGTCACTCTCCCATAAAGCATAGACTGGTGATGAATTCTGGCAACAGTTGATGTATGCTCAGTCTATCCCATCTCACTTACTGAAGCTCCTTCAGAGTGATCTCGGGTGGTGGTCTCTCACACTTTTCTCCTTCATGGTCACTCAGTTTGTGAGGATGGCCTGCTCTTGGTAGATTTACACATGTCCCATATTCCTTCTGTTTATTGATGATAGATTTAACTTAACTCCTGGGGATGTTTAGGGCCTTGAAACTCCTTTTGTGTCCATGCTGTCTAGTACTTTTTGTTATTTTTTCTAACGTTGAATTAGGACAACCACTTTAAAAGGGCTAAATATTTATACAGTCACTTGTTCGACATTACATCTGGTTGACATGGACCTGGGTGGCACGGTGGCTCAGTTGGTAGAGCTGTTGCCTCTCAGCGAGAAGGTCACTGAATCAAATCTCGGCTGGGGACATTTCTGAGTGGAGTTTGCATGTTCTCTCCGTGCATGTGTGGGTTTTCTCCAAGTACTCCAGTTTCCACCCACAGACCAAAAACATGCATGTTAGGCTGACTGGTAACTCTAAAATGTCCCTATGTGTGAGTGAGACAGTGAATGGTTGTTTGTCTTGTTTGTCTCTGTGATGGGCTGGAGACGTGTCCAGGTGTCCCCCGCCACAGTGACTGGTGGATATGGGCACCAGTGACCCCCGTGACCTAGCAAAGAAAAAAAGAAAAAGCAGTTAAAGATATTGGATGGATGACCTCGACCTGGTTGAAGGCCTCCAGGCCTTTAAAAGACTTCAGACCCTCTGAGATGTGGGGGCCTGAAGTGAAGACTAACACTACCAGTGTTTGGGTGGTCCCAGGGATAGGATCTAGATCTGCCCTCCAGCCAACCATTATGTTTGCATTGATCTTTGTTTCTGAATAACTCTGTTGTGATATTGGTCCCTTTCTAATTTCTGAGCTGTTTCTTTACGTGTTGTCAGTTTTGAATGCTTTTCAATTTTTTTGTTTGTTTTATTCATGTATTTCATCAATATCAAATTAAAAACATTCATAGTTTCCATAAGTAACTGAATCCTAATTTGAGTATTTCTGGGATTTCATGGTGGATCGCTATTTTGGTACATCTGGGACTTTTTGAATTTGAGGAACCTGATGAAAACAAAGCATGTTAGTCACAGGGAAGATCAGAAAGTCATCAAATCCATCTTCATCTTCTACCCCTTATCCATGGTAGGATGGTAGGCAGAGGCAACGGGTACAGGATGAAAACCAGACCCCCCCCCCCCCACACACACACACACACACACACACACTCTCCCCAGCGACTCTCTCTACTCCTAATGGGGGGTGGGGGGGGTGGGGGGGGGCAGAGGACAGCGAAGATACACAATCCCTCCAGTAAGTTCTGGGTCTGCCGTGGGGCCTCCTACCAGCGGGATGTGCCTTGAAATCTCCCAAAGGGAGGCGTTCAGGAGGCATCCTGATCAGATGAACCTCCTCAACTGACTCCAATGCAGAGGAGAAGAAGCTCTACTCTGAGCTCCCCAGATGAATTTTTAAGACTGTGCCTGGCCACCCTAAGAAGAAAGATAATTTTGGCTGCTTGATACCTGGATCAGGTTCTTTCATTCATGATCCAGACCTCATGACCACAGGTGAGGGTTGGAACTTAGACAGACTTTTAAAGTGAGAGCTTTACATTTGACTCTACTGTTTCTTCACGGCGATCGACCGAAGCAACACCCTCGTTACTGACAACATCTCCCATTCCATCCTATCATTGCTCACAAACAAGACGCCCAGATACTTAAACTCTTCCACCTGAGAAACCTCACCTGGAAACAGGAAACCAGGGCACCTCCCTCCCTTGAGCCAGGTCTGGAGGATGAGAGCTCACCGGTGAGTGGCCCGTAGTCGATCCTTTTACTCCTGGAGCTCAGCTGGGCCAACCCTGAAAAAAGACAGGATGCAACTTCCACATGAGTTCACCCTCTGCAAGGAGAACTGTTAAGGTCGGGTGAGAAGCAATATAGGCGGTAGGCGACGGCGGGTCCCTGGCCATGCCAATACTGGAGGTACAAACTAAACCAGCTCAGATAAAACATACAGAACTTCTTGATTTTGTGATTCTGGTTTAATTCAATGGATGCTAATTTAACTGCATGATGTGTTTTAGGATCACTGTGACTGCACTTTGCTCAATGGACTTCAGCAGTTTCCCTCTGGACACACAGAACTGCTCTCTGGAGCTGGAGAGCTGTGAGTATCAAGCCACAGTTGGGACATAAATGCTCACAATTGCCTGATTAAATATTCAATGTTGTTTCAGAAAAAGGAACGCTCCTAATTCCAGGATTGGATGTGCATGAGTTGTTGCACTTGTAAACACGTTACACAACATTTGATACTACACAGACTTGGAGCTCAAAATTGTTGCATAGAAACAGCGTTGTAATCTTAGAGCATAAATAAACACACACTAGTGCAACGTGCATTCACACACTTCATTACCAAAAAATAACTATCTTTTTATCCATTTTGGTCTATTTAATGATAATTTTTTGATAGTAAAGATGACTTTTTATAAAAAAATAGGAGTTTTTTGTGACTGGCTCTTTTACTCTACATATCCTGCTTTAATTAATACGCAGACATATTACAGATCTCCCTCTTCTCTTTTTAAGATGCCTACAATGAGAACGATCTCATGCTTTACTGGAAGAATGGAAACGATTCGTTACGGACAGATGAGATAGTGCTCTCCCAGTTTTTTATTGAAGACTTCCAGCCTTCCTTTGGACTTGCCTTCTACAGCAGCACTGGTATGTGAGACCCATCATCACAGCTGCATAATGGGATTCAACCGAAGGACTCCTGACAGAGTTTTTTAACATATGACCTCCTCCCTGCTGTTTCAGGTTGGTACAATCGACTGTACATAAACTTCATCTTAAGGAGGCACATCTTCTTCTTCATGCTTCAGACGTACTTTCCTACCATGCTGATGGTGATGCTGTCATGGGTATCTTTCTGGATAGACAGGAGGGCCGTACCTGCCCGTGTCTCTCTGGGTACTGACACATAACTCAGTATGTTCAAGAACAAATGATGTGAGGAATGTAGTTCAGAGAAAAAAAAAGTTTTGCATTTGCTGAATATAATATTTGAATGGGGTATTAAAACACATCAAGTGGTGCGCTGATGTCCCCCAACTCTGAGAGGTTTGAATAGTGAATGTTTGTAGTTTTTGAGAAGAGTGATTTTCTGTTTTGGAATAGAACAGAAAATGTAAGTACGGTAAACCTTAATGTTTTTGGTGAAAGATATTCCAGTGGGTAAGAGTTACTCTGTGTAGAACAGCAGTATTTTTTTTTCTTGTCTGAGGTGACGCAGAGTGAATAATTTTAGCAAGTGTAGAGAGCAATTTTATTCATCACCAGATGCAATGGAGGAGCCATGGGGTGGCCATTGGTAGCCTTGACCAACATTGATATATCTAGCTAGCTAGCTAGCTAGCTAGCTAGATATATCCAGGGCTAACTGGTGCTCGAGAGATGTGGAGTTGACTTATTCTGATCCATGAGCACGTTTCACATCTGTCTTCTTTAATGCTCGTGTTCTGTTCTGGTGTTTGTGAATCCAGGCATCACCACAGTTCTGACCATGTCCACCATCATCACCGGTGTGTCAGCCTCCATGCCGCAGGTGTCTTACGTCAAAGCCGTAGACATCTACCTGTGGGTCAGCTTCCTGTTTGTCTTTTTGTCGGTTATCGAGTATGCTGCGGTCAACTATTTCACCACAGTGGAAGAGATGAAGAAGCTGAAGAACGCAAAGGTATTTTTCATTCTCTTAATGCCTTCTTGAACCGTTTGTACTGTATTCAATCTTCACATCGCTCACTGCTCCTTTTTCAGATCCCCAGCACCTTCAACACCAACCAGGCGATGGCTTTTGACGGGTGTTTCCACGATAATGACATTGACCTGGCTCCTTTCCCGGAGGTCGACATCACCCCAAACACTGACAGAAGCACCGAGTCACAAAACTCCACGGCCTCTGCACCCCCAGATGGAACCAGGCTCCGCCGCAGAAACACGTTAAAATACAACATGAGCTTCATCATGAGCAACAGCTACATGATCGACTCGTACTCCAGAGTCCTGTTTCCCTTGGCATATCTGCTCTTTAACATCATTTACTGGAGTCTGTACGCATAGGACATTAACTGTGCAGCAGAGCAAAATGTTCACCATTAACCAGGTGGGCGTCAGATCAAAATCTACAATAAACTGTCACAGTTCTTCTCTGCCACAGGATGTGACATTTTGTTTGCACAATGTCTGTTGATGAGCAATATTTGACTTATATTTAAGAGCTGCGATCAGCTGCTGCAGCCATCAGCTGTGTTTCATGAATGTGTCTTTTCATGCAACTTTTATAGAAAAAAATGCTCAAATTATTTTTTAATTATTTATTTTATTTAGTTTTTAAGGTGGCACAAAAACAAAATTCTTGGGAGTATACTCTTTCTTCTTTAAACAAATCTTGGCTGTTATGAATGTGTCAAATAGCATATATTCTTCCACATTCTTCCATTAAAATAACTTACTGTTAAAAGTTGACACACTCAAGCAAAAGATTCTCGATAGTTTTAAAAACAGGAGTCGTGTTTGTCACTGAACGTTGTGAATTTCAATAAAAAACAAGGAGCACGCCACTGCCCCCCGTCACTGAGAGATCTGAATAGTGAATGGTTGTAGTTTTGGAGGTGAGTGTTCGATTGGAATGGAACTGAACAGGGAATGCAAGTAAACCTTAATGATTTTGGTGAAAGATGGGATTTTTTTTTCATTAATTCAACCTTTATTTATACAGGTTAGTCCCATTGAGTCTTGGGGACTCATTTACAAGAGAAACTTGAAATATAGATGAGTGGAAGGAGCAATTTCATCTATCACAAGAAGCAAAGGAGGAGGAGCCAGGGGGTGGTCAATGGTGGTTTTGGCCCATAGTTTAATTTTCAGTCACCCTAGTTATTTATGGAAGCCATATTTTTAAAGCAAAGTTTCCTCAAATGATATGGGTTGGTTGATAGGTTTATATACAGT